AAGATCTGGGAGCAGCTGGCTGGCAACAAGGCAAGGCACAGCCTTGATTTTCTCAGGGCAGAAAATGTGATGTTAAGGGAGGGCAGCAATTTTTTTTTATCTGTGGAAGCACAAAAAGACTTGTGCGAGCCCAGCAAAAAGCTGACCACTGTGAGGTATAAAAGGTTAACTTCAGGGTAAATGTTTTCAGGGACTGATAGGAAAGGTGTCCTCCTGAGTCAGGACTTCAGAGAGGGTGTGACGGAGTAAGATGAAAGGCCTAATTTTCATCTTGCGACATGTTACATCACTAAAAAAGTTATGATAGTTTGACAGCCCTGAAGAGAAACCAGGAGCAACATGAAACATTTGTCATACTTTCTTGCAGTGAATTAGAGGGCAAGTGTCGGGGAGTACGCTACAAGGGCAGTGCTCAGATGTTCTTCACGTCCACAGAGAAGCAACTGTCTCTGCTTGCAGGGCATTTTCAAAGAAAAATTAGGAAAAACTTGCTATGCAGAGGTGTGAGGAGGGGAGGAGGCTGCCCAGGAATGCTACAGCATTCATCACTCGAGGTTTTTAAGGCCAAGTTAGACAAAAATGAATACATCGCGTAAAGCTGCGACGGCATTGCAGCCTCTGCTGCTCGGGACCTTTTTGACTGAGTTACCCGAGTGCTGCTCCGGAGAGGGCAGGAACAGAAGAGCCTTTTGAAGCATGTGCAGGAGTTGGATATATAGAGTATATTAAATAATGCAGAGATGCATTTTCATCTTTTATTAATGAGAAAGATGCACGACATTAAGGAATAAAAGTGTTCCATGCATTTCAGTAGAGAAAAACAGGGAATGTGGGCTGAGCTGTTTTCATTGCCCTGCTTCTGCATTTTCCATCTAGTTCCTTCTGTTTCTTGAAGTAAAGTAAAATCACCATGTAGGGCAAAGGCATGAATGGGTATGGATATTTTACTACCTTTATCTACTTTAAAAGTATAATTCCTGGGCAGGATTAGAATATTGCAGGGATTGCAAGATTTCTACTTCCAGCGAAGGCAAAAGTGGCAGCATTTATCCAGATCAGATCAGATCAGATCAACATTTTTGAAGGGCTTAAGGAACACAAATGGAGTGTGTGTGCATTCGTGGGCAAACAGTCCCCAGCTATCAGAGCCCTCTGTAAGGAGAGGCAGAGCTCAGGCTCCAAAAGAAATGTGCCTTTCACTTTTTCTTTCTGTTTTAAGTTTTGTCAAAATCAAATTTCTTTTGGCTATCTGCGTGTTACAGGGTCTTTGACGGAGCTCAGTGTTTCTCTCTTATCATTCCTTTCTCACCTTTTGCTGAATTTTTTATTCCCATGACTTGTGGCTGGGGTTTTTTTTCTTTCTTACTGCCACAGGTAATGTGGTTGGAAGATTGTGGAAAACCGTAGCTTTGCCCACAGGTATCTGCCAAGATACGTTAGTACTTCACATCTGCATTGCTCTTGTTCTAATTTTGGTCAGTTTATGCCCAGAAGTAAATAACTCTTGAAAAAGACCTACTTTGACTCTACGGGATAATGAGTACATGATTTTGGACTGGTTTGGATTTGTACACAGCCAGCGTTAACAGGCTGATTAAGACCCTAGAGACTCACCATTAAAGGTTAATTTTAGATGTGGATGGTAAAGAGACTGTGCCGGTACAAAGATGTTAAATTTCAGGAAAGCAGCTTAATGGAGATTTAAAAGTCGGGTCCATGAGGTGGAACAGGAGAAAATGTTCGAATATACCAGCGTGGAAAGGGCAGCAGGGTCACAAATCTGCTTTGCTCTTCATCTCGCAGTGGTGGTGCAGGAGTCTCTGCTTCCTCCTTCCAGTACAAACCTGCAGAAGAAAAAATGCATCGTTTCCAAAGGCACTGCGTGAAGGTGCACATCAATGAAACCATATTGGGTGCAGTGAAGTCTGCAGGAAACCAAAGTAGAATATATTAATATATTGAGTCTGAGGAATCTTTTAGAGAAAGGGGAAGGGGTTCAGAAATAGAAACCAAAATGGATTAATTAAGTCAGATGGTTAGGAAGAACAAGGGAATAATTTACAGGTAGGATGAAGGAGGGAAAGGAAAACTGGCAGGGAAGTAGGACTCTTGCCAAA